TCAGTTTTCTAGACAACTGCTTAGAAAAACCCATGGTGCTGATTGTTGGGGCAAGGTCAGATGAGTCTGGGCATTTAAAACCTTTGAGATTGACATCACCTGGTCTTCCCAGACGATGATTGAGAACAATCCATGACACTGGCAGGTCTCAGCTTTGCAAAGGGGGCAGTGCATGCTATAAATTCTGCAGGGTGCCCAAACTTTTGCAGACGCCATTTTTTTGTTTTCTGTTATTTTGAAAGTGTAAATGATGGAAATAAAATCTAACTTTTGTTAACATATTATAAGAATGTCTAATCTGTAATTTGATGCCTTTTGGAGATTTTTCCATCTTTCCTTGGCTTCTTTATGCACATTAATACAAATTTTTAGCTGGGGTGCCCAAACTTTCGATCCCCACTGTATATATAAACTGTATATATATTTGATAATTGATTAGTCCTGATGGTCTATCTCATTTCTTGAGGACCTAAATGCCAGGACAGTACAAATACCCCCAAATGACCCATTTTTTTGGAATGTAGACAGTCTGAGGCAGTTAGTAAGAGGCATGGCGAATTGTAATTTTTTGTCACAATGTTTTGCAAAATAAGGCAATAAATCATTTTTGTTTTCATATTTTTGCACCAGTGCAGTACAGCGATATCTTATGACTGGTGTGGCGGTGGTCAGGAATACTGGTTGGTGACAGTATGGTAACAAAAAAATAGTAATTTTTATTACATTTTTTAAACATTTTTTTCTTTTTAAACAATTTTTTGCTTCTTTTTTTCCATTTTTTTCTTACATTCTGACATCAGAATAGTTCAGTGTCACCATAGCGACACTGTACTCTGGGGGGTGATCAGGGGGATTATTTTTTGTTGATTGCAGTTACAGTGATGATCCCTGTACCAGCAATGTTTTGAACTGTCAAGAATGGGTTTCATTCATAACAACTGTGATTAGTATTGTGATGCTGTGATAGGCCCACAGCTATCACATGGTACAGGGTGCTGTGATTGGTCTAGGTACCATGTGATAGCTGTGGGAATATCACAGAATCACAATACTAAGCACAGCTGTTATGAATTAAACCCATTCATAACAATTGTGTTTACATTGCGATCATGTTATTGCACAGTGATCAGAAGATACTCCGGCTGCTATGAAAAAACAAATGAGCTAAATTGTATAAACAATATACTTGTTATAGGCTTCCCTGAAGCTACAACTGCCACTTTAATAGGCAGGTGGCAGTGTTTTTTTTAGGCTATGGAAGTTAAGAATTAGATAAAAGACAATTGTCTTCCTATGATTAGATGGCTGCTGTAAGTCTTATGTAATGAAATTATACCAGAAGCAAAAGCAGTTTGAGTGATCCTGTTACTATAAAAAAAACTTAAGGAGCAGTAACCCCTAAAAGAAGATTACTAATACCTGTCCCATTGGTGGCAACTTAAATTTTCAATTTTTAGCAAAGCTACAGTATAGGCACTGCTGGTATCCAATAGTGGATGCACCAGCTGACCACTATATCACTACCAGAGGTACAAAGTACCATAGTGCAAAGTGGGAGACACAGTATCCAACACAACCCGAAGTGTAATATAAAGCAGTGGCTATAAAGTTAGGTCCATATATTTTTTTTCAGGTATTTACCAAAACATATTCAAGCTATAGTTATATCATGGATATGGGCTGAAAGTGCACACTCTCAGGTTTAATTTGAGGGTATGTACATCCACATTGGAGGAAGGGTTTAGGAATAACAGCTCTTAAGAGTAGCCATTCCCCCTTTTTAAGGAACCAAAAGTAATTGGACAAGTGAATCAAAAGCTGTTTCATGGCCAGGTGTGGGTTACTCCATTATTTCTTCATCAATTAAGCAGGTAAAAGATCTGGAGTTGATTCTAAGTGTGGTATTTGTATTTGGAATCTATTGCTGTGAACCTACATCATGCGTTCAAAGGAGCTGTCCATGCAAGTGAAACAGGCCATTGTAAGGCTTCAAAAACTAAACAAATTCATCAGAGAGATAGCAGCAACATTAGGAGTGGCCGAATCAACAGTTTGGTGCATTCTGAGGAAAGAAGAACGCATTGGTGAGCTCAGCAACATAAAAAGATATGGACGTCCACTGAAGAAAACAGTGGTGGATGATCGAAGGATCCTCTCTATGGTAAAGAAAAACCCACTCACAACATCCGGACAAGTGAAGGAAACTCTCCAGGAGGTGGGCGTATCCTTGTCAAAGTCTACAATCAAGAGAAGACTTCACAAGAGCAAATACAGACGGTTTATCACAAGGTGCAAGTCATTCATAAGCCTGAAGAATAGCAAAGCCAGATTAGACTTTGCCAAAAAAATCTGAAAAAGCCAGACCAGTTCTGGAAAAGCATTCTTTGGACAGATGAAACTAAGATTAATCTGCACCAGAATGACAGGAAGAAAAAAATGTGGCAAAGGCTTGGAACAGCTCATGACCCAAAGCACACATGGTGGAGGCAGTGTGATGGCATGGGCATGCATGGCTTCCAGTAGCACTGGGTCATTGGTGTTTTTTGATGATGTGACAGAAGACAGAAGCGATGAATTCTGCACTGTTTAGAGATATACTGCCAGCCCAGATTCAGCCAAATGCAGCAAAGGTGATTGGACGGCGCTTCACAGTAAAGATGGACAATGACCCAAAATACACTGCAAAAGCAATGCAGGAGCTTTTGAAGGAAAATAAGTGGAATATTCTCCAATGGCCGAGTCAATCACCTGCTCTCAACTCAATTGAGCATGCATTTCACTTGCTGAAGGCAAAACTAAAGGCAGAAAGAACAACAAACAAAGAACAACTGAAGACAGGTGCAGCTATAGCCTGGCAAAGCATCAGAAAGGAGGAAACCCAGTCTTCGGTAATGTCCATGGGTTCCAGACTTCAGGCAGTCATTGCCAGTAACGGATTCTCAGCAACATATTAAAAATAAACATTTTATTTATGATTATATTAAATTGTCCAATTACGTTTGGTCCTTTGAAAAAGGGGGGATGGCTACTCTTAAGAGCTGAAATTCCTAAACCCTTCCTTCAATTTGGATGTACATACCCTCAAATTAAACATGAGAGTGTGCACATTCAGCCCATATCCATTATATAACTATAGCTTCAATATATTTTGGTAAATACCTGAAAAAACTACAATTGTGCCTGTGTCCAAATATATATGGACCTAACTGTAACTCTGAAAGAGAGTAAAGACTGAAGCTGCTGTTCACGGGACTGGTAAGTATTAGTAATCACTTAGTAGTATTAGTAATCACTATGACCTGTACCATGAGTGGAAACTCCAAATTTCATTTTCTAGCAAGGCTAGAGCAGCCAGGTACTGGGAGCCAAAGTCCATTGTGAGTACTGTGAGCACCATGGGACCAGCTTGCTGAATGCCCTAGGAGGAGTGTTAGTGCGTATGTGCCTGTAGCTTCTGCCCACTTACAGTAAAGCTACAGTGGGCAGGTGGCAAGTGGTTAACAAAACATTAGGAAATTTGAAACAAGCAAACAAACATGTAACCTACACTTACCACTACATTCCAGAGGCCAACATCTGCACCCCTTCAAGTAAATATTTGCTCCTTACAGGTTTATGAGGAAATATCTGATACTAGGAGAAAAGCTGAACACAGGTTCTAGGACCAGACCATACTAGGACTTCCAGCAAGCAAGACAGAAGATCAGTAGCAAAGTCAAGAGAGTAATTTACACACGCCATTCACTTCTTTATGCCCAAATGCTTTTAAAATTGTGGAACACACACACCTTAATTAAAGCTAAAAGTATTTTTTCCTGTTATGAATGCAATGGCCAAGCAATAATTAAAATGTCTCTAAAAGTAATGCTAATATGTAGAATGCATCTACGGTATATTTCATAACTAAAGTGTATGTCAACCCTAATGAATGAACCTTTCCTGTTTGCTCCCTTTTGGCCTGTTAAATATACATAGTTACACAGTTAGTCTGGATGAAAAAAGGCAAAGGTCCATCCAGTTCAACCATAAAAATACCCACAGTTGATCCAGAGGAAGGCAAAAAAACCCATCAAAGCAAGATGCAATTTGCTCCTGCAGGGAAAAAAAATCCTGCCTGATCCCCCGAGAGGCAATCGGATATTCCCTGGATCCATTTTACCTATAAATGTTAGTATCCAGTTATTTTCTGTGTATCTAAGAAATAATCCAGGCCTTTTTAAAGCAATCCACTGAGCTGGCCAGAACCAACTCTTGGGGGAGTCTATACCACATTTTCACAGCTTTCACTGTGAAGAAACCTTTCTGTGTTTGGAGATTAAATTTATTTTCCTCCAGACGTAAAGAGTGCCCTCTTGTCCTCTGTGATGACCTCGGGGTGAAAAACTCTTCACCGAGTTCACTGAATGAACCACTAATGTATTTATACATGTTGACCATAGCCCCCCCTTAATCTCCTCTTCTCAAGAGAGAATACATTCAGTTCCTCTAATCTTTCCTCATAGCTGATCTCCTCCATGCCTCTTATCAGTTTGGTTGCCCTTCTCTGTACTTTCTCCAGTTCCCCAATGTTCTTTTTGTGAATTGGTACCCCAAACTGAACTGCATATTCCAGATGAGGTATTACTAATGATTTGTACAGGGGTAAAATGATATCTATCTCTAGAGTCTATACCTCTTTTTAATATAGGAGAGGATTTTGCTCGCAGAGTATGTGATCACTTGTAAAAAAAATTGGAAAAAAAGTGATTTATGATATTTTTATATGTATAAACAAACGTTTTGCCTTTCATTTCTATTTTAACCAGTTTCCCACTGCCCTATGGCAGAACTACTGCTATAGGGCTGCGCAAAATCATGTATATATACATGGTTTTGCATTTCCAGGTAGGAGGCACCATTAGCGGCCTCAGCTGTCAATACTGGGTCCCGGCCGGTGATTCTCCACTGGCACCCAGCGATCACCGAGTATCACTGATGGGGGGAGTGGTCTGTATGTGAACAATACAAATCTCTCCCCTGTCAGCCCCTGCACACTGCTTTGTGTTGCTCTGCATAGCAATGTGCTTACACAGCAAAGCACACACACAGCACATAGTAAAACAGCACACAGTTAACCCTTTGATCACCCAAATGTTAACCTCTTTCTGCCCAGTGTCATTAGTACAGTGCCAGTGTTTTTTTTGCACTGATCACTGTATTAGTGTCACTGGGGATGTCAGTTCCCCCCCAGTGCCAGAATGTCTGCCGCAGTCCCACAGTCCCGTTATAAGTCTCTGATCGCTGTATAAAAAAAAAAAAATTCCAATATATACCGCCATTTGTAGACGCTATAACGTTCACGTAAACCAATTAATTTACACGTATTGGGATTTTTTTTGCAAAGATATGTAGCAGAATACATTTTGGCATAAATTTATGACATTTGATTTATTAAAATTTTTTACTGGACATGTTTAACCTCCCTAGCAGTCTGATTATGTCCATATTTCTGTGCTCAAAGCGGTACATTTTTTTGCATGGAAATATGTAGTTTTTTTATTGTAGGCCTGTAATTTTTAGGAATAACTCACTGAAATCTGTCTGAACAAGAGTCTAGTATACATCCCGGGTATGTTAAAATTTGAAACACGAAATCATAAATTATAATTTAATAAATAATCATAAAAAATAGTATAATAATAAATTTAATTAAATAATATAAATCAAACCAAAAATACTGAAATTTGAAATATAGCGTCAAGTTCGCACATCACTGAGCAAAGTCGCAAAATTATTTTCAGTGTCTGATGACGAATTTCCCCACAAATCATTATCACTCAATTCTGCAAGTGGTTCTAATTTACTATCGCTGTTCTCTAGCTGGTCTAAAACCGATTTTGACCTAAAGGGACGCTTTTTGGACACCATGGACTTTTCTCAGTTTCCAGGCAGAAAGAACAGTAAAAATGCAGGCAGGGCACAGGACAAAGCACTCGGGACAAAATGTATGTGAAATGGTTTGGTACAGTAATGTTATACTATGTGATTTTAGTGATTTTAGTGAATGTCACTTTTTGTCATTTTCAAATTTCCCACCGTTCCGCCCCCGTACGTCCCGACGTCGCAGGGGACGGAACCCAGAAGACAGATGCCGGCATCCACCGGAGAACATTACAGGGGGCACTGGAGGGACATCGCGGGAGAGCAGGACAAGGTAAGTGAAGAAGAGATCCCGGAGCAACTCTGCATGGTAAGCCCGAGTGTAGCTCGGGGTTACCGACTGTGGTACTGAAACTTTACCCCGAGCTACACTCGTGAACACCGCCAGGGAGGCTACTAGCTAAAAGTCAAAAATATTGTTTTTTTTCTCAAAATTGTCGGTCTTTTTTTTTATAGCACAAAAATGAAAAACATAGAGGTGATCAAATACCTGCGAAAGAAAGCAGTTAAAGTAACTCAGCGCCGTAACACAAAAAATGGCCTGGTCAGGAACGGGGGTAAATCCTCTGAAGGGCAAGTGGTTAAATTGAATAGCTTTTTTTGCAAGGTGAGGGTTATACTTTAGTAATCAAAATTCATAAATCACAGACAAATAATTTTGTATAAATACTTATCTAAAATACTATTATTATTATTATACAGGATTTATAAAGCGCCAACAGTTTGCTCAGCGCTTTACAATATAAAGGGAGACAATACGGCAACAATACAGTTCAATACAAGAGGGTTAAGTGGGCCCTGCTCCTTGGAGCTTGCAATCTAAGACTATTTCATACCTGCTGAGTCTCTAGGAGTATCCTCATGCTGTAGTAGATAAGTAAAAGGCAAAAAAGATACCAAATTTAAAAAGCTAAAAAAAGACCAAGAAACTGCATCAGAAAACAGACAACAGCACAACCACACTTATCTCGAGGCTCAGCAGTGAATAGGTTTTCATAGTGTCATAATAGGAGCAGAGTGATTACCTCTATACATTAATCTTTACTCTTTCTTCTTGCAATACGCAGATCTCAATCAGAGCAGTAAATTTAACTTGCCAGTGTCACAGTTCTTTATCTACATTTCCAGCTTTCAGGTCTCTCTCATATCCTCTTGCAATACACAGCAATCAGAGCAGACGGAGGAAAATGGCACACCCAAAACCTATAGCTTTAGAGGCAAACTGCCTATCTTGCATTTATCAAGAAACAGACCTGCTGCATCATTGTGTATGTAGTCACATTAATTGACACTAGTTTATTTAGTAAGCATGACAACACCCTTTAGCTTCAAAATGAGTGCCTGCTTTTCACTTTAAGGCCTCTTGCACACTGTAGCTTGAAAAAAACTCAGTACAGTGGGGTTTTTACTGATCTAAAATGTAGCCAATTGTTTACAATGTGCCTGTACACACACGTAAACAAGTGCTGCTTATTCTTGAGTAAAAATAAAATAGAAAAATGTGCATTCCTGATCAGTAATTTGTGCTGGTACGCGCATATGCGTGCAAATATAAGCATAAATATGAATGGATTTTGCCCAGGAATGTATTGTAAGTGCGAATGTATAAATTCTCAAATATATGTGTGAATACGCACAAAACAAATGCCTGTAATTATGTCCAGAAATGCTGATGCTCAAACATCATTACTGTGTGCAAGAGGCTTTAGTTGTATGTCCACATTAATAACAAACTCAGAAGCATTGTTGGAGATTGTTACTTCATAGCTATTTATTTAGCTGCCTCTGCACATGTTCACGTAACACATAATTGCACTACCGCAGCCTAAAAAAGACATTTTCATTTTTGATTGCTATAATTTCCTGGTAGGCTTTTTTTTTCCATCTCCAATTTTGTGGACATTATGGCATAAGCACCTCAGTGCAGGATGAAGGTATTCCTTAAATACAGTACATGTATATGAAAATACTGCTATAGGATGGCAGAGCTGCACAAAATCATACACACATACATATATATATATATATATATATATATATGTGTGTGTGATTTTGTGTTTCCTGGCAGGTGGCTCGCATGTGCGCACTGCCCTACCCACGCCACCATTGGCAACTACAGCTGTCGATCACCGGGGCCCACCATTGGTGGCTATAGTTGTCAATCACCGGGTCCCAGCCCGGTGATCGCTGAGTAAAAATGACAGGGGAGAGGTCTGTATGTAAATAATACAGATCTCTCCCCTGTCAGCACCAGTGTGCTGCTCTGTATTGCTCTGCATAGCAGAGCAATACAAAGCAGCATGCTTACACAGTAAAACAGCACACAGCACATAATGTGAAACACACACAGCACATAGTTAACCCTTTGATCGCCCCAAATGTTAACCTCTTCCTGCCCAGTGTCATTAGTACAGTGTCAGTGCTTTTTATTACCACTAATCACTGTATTAGTGTCACTGGGGATGTGCGTGACAGTTAGTCAGTTCCCACCCAGTGTCAGAATGCCCTCCGCAGTCTAGCTATAAGTTGTTGATCGTTGCCATTACTAGTATAACAAAAAAAATTCCAGTATATATACCGCCATTTGTAGATGCTATAACTTTCATGTAAACCAATTAATTTAAATGTATTGGGATTTTTTGAGCAAAGACATGTAACAGAATACATGTTGGCCTAAATTTATGAAGAAATTAAATTTTTTTTATTTTTTTTTTTACTGGATATGTTTAATAGCAAAAAGTCAAAAATATATATATATTTTTCAAAATTGTCGGTATTTTTTCGTTTATAGCGCTAATAAAATAAAAACCACAGAAGCGATCAAATACCACCAAAAGAAAGCTCCATTTGTGGAATAAAAAGGGCATAAATTTAATTTGGGTGCAGCATTGCATGACCGCGCAATTGTCAGTTAAAGTAATGCAGCGCTATATCACACAAAGTGGCCTGGTCAGGTAGGGGGGTAAATCCTCAGGAGGGCAAGTGGTTAAAGCAGCAGCTGCATTTATGTACATAACTCCTGGGATCTTTTTAAAAGCTGGAAATTGTGGCAAGTGGGAGGGGGATGCAGGAAAAGGGCAGAAGGACTAGACTACTACACACGCCCTTCTTACTTTAATGAATTTTTTTTGGGCATGTGTGTGTAGCACTCCAAGTGCCCTAAGCTTCTTAATATAAAGCAGCATTGCAATTTTAAAATGAGGTCTTTTGGAAGCAAAAAAAAATAAATTTCTTGGTTTACACAACACATTCATTACTTGCCATCTTGAATCCTGAATCATCGCTGATAATTGAGTCATTACCACCAGTAATGTGCACATACAGTCATGGCCGAAAATTGTTGGCACCCTTGATATTTTTCCTGAAAATCAAGTATTTCACACAAAAAAGGTATTGCATTAACACATTTGCTATACACATGTTTATTCCCTTTGTATGTATTGGAACAAATATAAAACAGAGGGCAGAAAAGCAAAAAATGACATAATGTCACACAAAAACCCCAAAAATGGGCTGGACAAAAGTATTGGCACCCTTAACTTAATATTTGGTTGCACACCCTTTGGAAAACATAACTGAAATCAGTCGCTTCCTATAACCATCAATAAGCTTCTGACACCTCTCACCCGGAATTTTGGACCACTCTTCCTTTGCAAACAGCTCCAGGTCTCTCTTATTGGAAGGACACCTTTTCCCAACAGCAATTTTAAGATCTCTCCACAGGTGTTCAATGGGATTTAGATCTGTGGCCACTTCAGAACTCTCCAGCGCTTCTTTGCCATCCATTTCAGAGTGCTTTTTGACGTATGTTTGGGGTCATTGTCCCTGCTGGAAGACCCAGGATCTTGGACGCAAACCCAGCTTTCTGACACTGGGCCCTACAGTGCGACCCAAAATCTGGTAAATCCTCAGATTTCATGATGCCTTGCACACAGTCAAGGCACCCAGTGCCAGAGGCAGCAAAAAACCCCAAACATCATTGAACCTCCACCATATTTTACCGTAGGTACTGTGTTTTGTTCTTTGTAGGCCTCATTCCGTTTTCGGTAAACAGTAGAATGATGTGCTTTACCGAAAAGCTCTATCTTGGTCTCATCTGTCCACAAGACGTTTTCCCAGAAGGCTTTTGGCTTACTCAAGTACAT